TTTCAACCTGATTCCATCTGCTTTCTATCTTTCAGGATTTCCTTAAACTCTGGTCTGTTCTGGCTCCTTTAGCTTTTTTCTAGTCTTGTTATCAATTCATTCTTTTAAAAATATCCTTCTGTCCTTCTAGTGGAAGGGAGGGTTGGTGGGGTAGACACATCGTGTGTGTGGCCAGTACTCCATCTTAAATTCCCCAGTTATCTTTTCACATTTCCTATGTGTGCAGAAACAAACTTTCAGAGGGGTCTTTCACTCTGGAAAATCCTCAGATTCAGTCTGGACTCAAAACTATACAGTAAACAATGATGGCGAGACCTTTCATGCTAAATAAATACATAATCTGGTTTTGACAGAGCACCTACTCAGTGCCAGGCCCCAGCTATAAGTCCTGTTACCTGACCTGGCTCACTCTGGAGACATTTTAGCCTGGTGCTCATGTGACCTAAAACCTGGTCATATGCCTTGGCTTTCTTTTTTTGTCTTTCTGACCTTGGCGTGAAGGCTCCTGTCTGGACAGCCTCTCCTTCAGCTCTGCGCCAGGAGCTCCAGTGTTGTTTGAATCTCAGACGGTGCTAGTTTGGGTTTGGGTTTTTGCTGCCAAATGGAATTGCTATTGAAAGTCAACTATGGTACAAGTTTGCTTTTTATTTTCTTAGACATGAGTCAAAAAGAATAGGATCTATTCCCAGCTCCTCTGGGACTTTTTTCTTTTGGAATGCTCTTCTGCCCTAGTGATTTGTTCTTTTAAAGCTAACATCATAAAGAATAGAACAGTTAAACTTGCCTTGGTGGGACCAAGAGCCCCGTGTCCTTACTCTTCACTGATGCCGAGGCTCATAAAGGGAATGACATGTCTTTAGAGAATGCAGGCTTGGCAGGCTCTGAGTCTTTCCCCCTCCCACCCCTCACCAGACTGAATCCCTTGAGACCCCCTGCACAGATCAAAGCGCTTGGCAGGACCCTTCTTCATCTTGCCCCTCCCCCTCTGTGAAGCTTTGGAATGAATCTGATTCTTTTAGGTATTTAGTGGAGGTGCCAGACAGAAGCCTGGGGGGGTGCCAGCAGGCCGGAGGGGAGCTGGCAGTGAGTACACCTAATGGGAACAGATTCCCATTTCACCCCCAAACTGGAACTTGATCACCTTTTACCCAGACCTACAAACCATGTAGTTAATGCTCTTCTCTCTCCCTTACCAGAAGGCCTACTCATCCCCTCTTTTCCATACCTGGATCCTTTCCCATGGAATATGTGACCCATTAGCCAACTGGATGAAGTAACTCTTTCCAAGGAAAGCTGCCTGCTTTCCTTTCAGATTTGAGGGGAGGGAGTGTGCTGAGACAAGGGTCTGTGTGCACAACTCCTGAGTGGGCGAGGGACTGTGGGGGGAGGCACAGATTTAGGCCTGAGAGCCAGATGGAAACATCGTGCCCCGTCGTCCCCCGGGTGGGAAAGAGCCTCTTATTTCAGCTTTCCTGTAGTAGTCAGAACCTTTTGGAAAATATCTGCAAGTAGCAACTAGGAACATAAGTAGAACAGGATAAAGGACAGGAAAAGCAGGACTTTCATGTAACACTGAGGAGACAAGTGTGGACTCCTGTGATGGACGCGTCTTGGCTGGTTGGTGGCGTGGCCTATTAAGGATATGCCCTTTAACTCCCAAGTGCAGCATAAGGAGCAAAACGTCTGCTTCAGCTCCCTCAGTAACCATGACTAAATGCCATGTTTTCCCAATTTAGTACATTCCGCTCAAGGAGGGGAAAGACCTGGTGTTTTCTGATGAAGGTATGAATTTGATTATGGACATCCAATTCCATCATCCTTGTCTGGCACATTATCCATGGTAGATGTAGTATTAATATAATCCCTGAGATCCTGAAGGGTTGGAAGAGGGTGAGGTCACCGTCTTCACTCCTATATGTGTGAATATAAATCAGTACTCTCTTATTTCTATTAGTTTGTATTTTTTTTTTTTAAATCTTATTTCCTCTTTTTCTCATTATTCAACAAGTATTTAGAGAGTGCCTGCTGCCTGCCAGGTGCTGTCGCTCCTTAAAACATTCTGAGAAATTCTAATTCTTGAATATCTTTATTATAAGTCAGTGTACTGCTTTGAGCAGAATGGCACATGTGTGTGCTGTAGACTGTGGGATTTAGTGGTTAGAACACATAGATACCGTTGAGTTTGCAGTAATGATTGTATATTTAACATGTGCCTGCCATTGTGCCTTCCAAATATAATCTCATCTAATCTTCATGAAGAACCCCATGAGGGGTGGTTATTACTGTCTTAGTAAGTGGTAGAGTCAAGTTGGTAACTCAAGTCTAGCTAGTTCCAGAGTATATATTCAGTCTTAATCCCTGTCCTGTACTACTCTGCAGTAACTTAATAGATGCTGAGAACTTTGATCTTAAGGTCCAGTGAGGAAAAAAGACTGTTTCCAACTTCCCCAACAATTCAGATTCCTGCTTTAGCCTATTTTGGAAGGACATTTTTAGCTGAAAATTGAAATAATTTGATATGAGTTAATTGGGGTTTGATGAAAAGGAAGTAGGTTTGAGGGTATTTCATTAGTTCCTCTTCGATGTACACTACCAAAGAAACCAGTCCCAACTATCCTTTTATTCTGAGAACTTAAAATTTAATTCCTCATACAGATAGAAAGAAGAGGTAAAGACATTAGAACAAATATTAAAGTTACCTAGTTAACTGAAGGGTTTATGCTAAACTCAACTGAATGGATAAATGTGAACAATGAGGATGGGAGGAGAGGAAGTAGATATGATGGGAAACGAAGACCCTAGGAGTGTGTTCTCTGGTCCAGAGGACAGGTGAGTAGGTCATATGTCTGTTATGGCCTGTAGGTGTTACTCTGGGGAAGGCGGCTGAGATTGATTAACTCTAGGTTTGGAACCCAGCCTGTAGATTACCGCTTTGTGTAATGATTGCATCACTTCTTATTCTGTAAGATGACTCAGAATGGAGATAGTGCTTGTGAGAAACTGATCAAGAAATGTAAGGAAATCAGGAAATGGTTGGGTGGTTGAGTGCACTAGGGGTGAATCAGTGCTGATGTCATTGTGTTCATATGATACACAGAAATGGGATGTGAAAGCTGCCTTCTGACTTTGAGGCAGCAGCAGCGGGAAAACTCATCATCCTAACTCCAGGGTTGCTCACTGTGGTTGTGAATAATGTCGTGGGTTATAAAATTATCCTTATTTCATGAACAACAGTAGTATTTGGGATCAGAAATGCTTTGTGACATAGAAAAATTTTTGAATTTGGGGATAATTATTTTGGCTCAGACTATTGAGTAGTGCTTAAAAGTCTACCTCTGAAGCAGACTGTCTGGGTTCCAATGCTGCTCTATTGCTTATTAGCTGTGTGACTTGGGCCAGGTCCCTAACTTCTCTGATCCTTTCCTTATCTGTAAAATATGGGGTTGTGTGAGGATTGAATGAAATAATATGTGTGATACATTTAGAACAGGTTGGCACATAGTAAATACTTTTACCTAATTTTAATTGTTTCTGCAAATGTTAGCTACTACTGTAGCTGTTATCATGGTAATTATTATCATTGCCACGTCTCTTTGGAGCTCTTTTGTCCTGCATGGATTGACTTGCAACCGACTTCTCTGTCTTAATCTAATTACACATGAAATTGTTCTATTTCACATATTTTGATCTTGCTCTTTGACTCCAGTGTTCCTGCTTCCTACCATGTTCAATCTAAATGACTCTTACTAGGAGTTCAAACTTATTTGCTTTTGCCTCTGGGATCCCTCCCTCCTAGTTGTCTAACCATCCCTTCCTTTATTTCTCAGTTTAGTCTTCTTAGCTCCAGGCCCATGAATCTGCCTACCCTCCTGTCTGCTGGCCCTTGTATATGCCATCTTCCCATGATGGCGTCCTTTCCTCCCTACCTTGTGCCCACTCACTTACTTCTTGCACCTATTCTTCCAGGGCAAGCCTTCCCTGAGTGGTCCTGCCAGATTGGTCCACTTTACGGCCCAATATCTTGTGTTTACAGAATTATTGCTTTTTGTTCTTTTAACTTAAATATATCACTACCTCTCTGCAATATAATTGTAATATAGTATTTAAACTCTGGGGGTAGAGGTACTGAGTCTTAAGTTCTGTGAGGGCAAGATTGTATCTATTTTCTTCATCACTGTAACCTCAATGCCTCACACAGTGTTCAACCGCACTCACTATTATATAAACAACTTTTTTTTTTTTTAATTAAAGAAATCTTTAAAGATCTAGCTCAGTCTTTGCACATAGTTGCTTGGGAAGTGCCATTCACCGAATCTAGCAAACACTCATTGCATTTCACAGAGGAAATGCTGGGATCTAGCAAGGATAGTAAGTTCTCTAAACAACTTAATGAAAGTCTACACTTAAGAATAGTCCTTGTGCACCTGGCACAGTGGCACACACCTGTAATCCCAGTGACTTGAGAGGCTGAGGCATGAGGATAGTGAGTTTGAGGCCAGCATCCACAGCTTAGCAAGACCCTGTCTCAAAATAAATAACAAAAAGGACCAGGATGTGGCTCAGTGTTAAAATGTTCTTAAATTCAATCTTCAGTACAAAGAAAAAAAAAAAAAAGAAAAGAAATAGTCCTTGTGCTTTAAAATTTTCATTGTACTTTTACATTTTAAAAGAGGCAAGCTTTTATTTATTTTTAAGTAACTCATATTTTCTTGGCAAGTAGCTATTTACCATGCATATAAATCTTTAAAGCTCTTTAGGCTGTATTTATTGTGTGAGAAGTGCTATGTAAATTTATTTTCCCTCCTTTGCAATTGAATACCCACAGTGTTTATAAAAGTTGTATGTTATGTGGCCAAAAGAATATGTGGGTATTTTGGGAGGAAAACTTTTCCTAGAGTTTTAGTTTTCCACATGATCACTTTTTAAAAGGGTAAAAAGTTTATTATAAATTAGAATTCCTGAGCATTTGTATCCTTTCATTCTTTTTCTTTATTCAATAGCCAAACCAGATTTCCCTGGAAGAGAACATCCTGGTCTCCCGTTACATTAACAACCCCCTGCTCATAGACGGTGAGTTGTGATTAAGCTCCTGCCTAGGTTGGGTTAGATCTTGCTAAACTTTTTAACCTTCTCATGGTCTTCTCTAGTAAATCTTTTAAAGCTAGTATGAAATTCTTGGAACCTATGGCTCCAGAGATGAGGCTGGTTTCTTACATACTACCAGGGATTATTCTGAAGATAAAGTGAGATAAGAAAAAGTGCTTTATAAGCTATAAGGCAATCAATCAATATGTGTGTGTGTGTGTGTGTATACATATATATGAAAACTGCCTATTTATTTATGTACATATATGCTATGTATATTATAGCATTATATTTATAGTACAGTTATTATTCATTCTCACCAGGCAAGGTGTGGGCACTGTGTGCTTTACATGGAGGAGTGGTCTTTCTTTTATAGTTCTTGGTTACCTTGTCCTGTTCATTCTGTAGCAGAAAGCAAATGAACTGTTTTTTTCTGTGAATCCAACCTTTTTTCTAGATTTCAAGTTCGACGTGCGCCTCTATGTGCTCGTGACTTCCTACGATCCTCTGGTCATCTATCTCTATGAAGAGGGGCTGGCCAGGTGAGAGACTTTGTTTTTAGTGGAAGGGTCAGGTGGGTATAATAAAATAGATCCATCAAAGAGCTTTCCAAGATCAGGCTGTTTCTCTCTGTTATGTTCAACTCAGGAAATTAACCCTGGGAGACTTCAAGTAACAGAAAGCAGTCCTAATACATTTCAGCCTCATTTGCATGTCCACACAAAGTTTGTGTAAATGCACACAATTCCCAGTGGAGATGGAAGCCTCGGATGTTTTTTCCCAATGATGATTATTAGGAAGACCCTAGGGTACTAAGATAATTAAGATAATTTTCATTGTTCTTCAGAATATCCAGAAAGAAAAATAAAATTCCACACTTATTTGCCTGTCATAAATCAGGCATTTGTTTTAATCCTAATAACAACCCTATAGTTAATAGCTTTTTGCAGTTGAGGAAATTGAGACTTAGAAAAGTGAGGGAACTTGTAGGCCCTTTCTGAGATCTCCCTGCTTGGTGGTAGCGGAGCAGGGATGGGGAATCCATTTGCTGAACTGCCCATGCTCTCAGTTTCAGGGGTATGCTGCCTTTTCCCCTTAATATGCAAATTACATACTTTGCAGTGGTCTCTTTTTCTCCAGGTGCCTTGTAGGTTTTAAGGTAATGAGACTTACAAAATTAGTATGAGTTATAATCATTTGGAGTTTTTGTTTCCTGTATCCACAGAATTTTCTTGGTGGTAGTGTTTCCATAAATAGTTTAAAATAAGTACATGACTTTGCTATGCTGTGTTCTTTTCCCCCCACAAAACATTTTTTTTAAACCAAAAGTTTTTTTTTTTTTAACTTTTTTTTTTTCTTTAAAAAGTGCCCTGAAGTTCATCTTATGTGCAGTGGCCTTGACTTTGTAGGACACAGCAGTTTAGGATGCGGTTTGCATCTGCCAGCAGTCATGACAAACTGAAAATCACAGTCTGTGCACATTTCTGTATTTGGAAAGTACATTTTGAAGATGGGAAATAGCACAGATAAAAGAAGACTGCCTATTTATGTACAGGTGATAAAGAAAATAGGTACAGTTTCTACCCTCATAGAACTTAAGATTTAGCATCCTTGTTATGCGTAATGGCTTTGGCATGTTGGGGAGGGGGCAGGGACTAACCAAAGCTCCTAGCTGGCTGAGCCATGTCTGTCCTTTACCTCTAGGTGGCAATGACAGCATTTATATGCTCTGTCATATTCCTGACTTAAGATTTATGAGCCTGAGCCGTGGAAACACGGGAGGCTACCAGAATTCCATAGTTCTGGCCTCTTCGTCCCTTAAAAATGGAGAAGGGGGAAAACTAAAACATTTCCCAGTAGTTGGGTAAATGCCTGGACCAGGCATCTGAGCATGAGCTGACTAGTAGCTCTAATCAAGTCTTTGTAGGAAAGGCATTTTTTATAATATTTATAGATATGTGTGCTCTCACATTTGAGTATAGTCAGACAGACTAGGTTGAAGAGCCACAATCCCATAATGTCTAGGAAAAAAAGAAGGTAAAAATATACCCCTGACTTCCGCTCAGGGATATAAGGTGTCCCCGATTTCAGTTTTGTAATTTGAGACTTCTGAGCTCTCCCTCTTCTCTCAAGAGCTTCTCCACTCTCCTTCCTGCACTCATCCTCACCCCACCTGTCTCCTTGGTCCTACAAGTAAACTGTGTCCTACCAGAAGTTGGATTTCTGCAAGAGAGAAAGAATATCAAGATTATTTACATGCACCGTTTTTCAAGTATCATAGTAGTGTGTTTTGCGTAATATTTCCAGAAATATTTCACCCACAACATTAGTAGCCCTCCCTGTGGATAAAATGTGGGCATAGTTTTAAGACCTTTATGGTTCAGAGGACAAAATGAGGGCAGTACTAACATTTATTATAGAGAATAATAGTAGCATTATTTACTACAAAAAATGCAAATGCTTTGGCTACTGGTTGTGTGTTGGACACCAGAATCCACTGAATTGGAGTAACTCTTGCTTCTAGTAGGAATTTAAATGTATAAATACCTATGTGTTATATATATATATATAATCTATTCATGTGTATATTCAATCAGTGAATACTTTTTCTTGGAATAATAGGAAAACAGCTGTTTAAATACTCAGACTGCCTGACCCCCAAAACAACATGAATTTGCAAGGCTTTGGTTATTAGGTTTACCAGAAAGTATAGGTGAGTATCAAAACTTTACCAAAGGGTGGTCCAAGGCAGTGTGAGGAGCTGTTTTCCAGAGTCCTGTGAGGGCACATTGTTCTGTGCAGTGACTTCAGTGGGCCTCAGTTCCTTTGACATCCTCACTGTGTACCTTGGCACACACCTGCTTCTTTTCCATCCTCAGAGTGTACTTGACTACTCCACTGTGCCATTACATTCGGCAATGGTCTCTACCTCCTCCTGTCTGTAGCTTCTAGTAATCTTGGGTTATATGTGAAGGTAATCAGGTTGGGGTGAGATCACTAGGTCTTTTTACTCTGAGGCTAAACAAGGAAAACCATAATTTTTCCTAAGGAGACAGAACTGGAGCCAAAAATAGTTTTATTCTTTAGAAAGGAAGGCTCTGATACCGTATCATTTCTATTTGGGGCTTCACATTAATGGTAGGTGATGGAAAGTTCATTTCACAAGAAAGTTTTGTGAAATAAGTTATTTTGTGTAAATTCTTTACCTTCTTACACTTACTGAAAAGAAGACCCTGGTGTGTTTCTTTATAAGTTAGTGTTTTCAGTTGTCCTTGTTTTATTCACATAGGAAGCAGAATTCTCACTGTTTTCTTTATGTGGGTAGAGTAGTGAAGACATGCGAGAAGGAATTGCCTTTCTGGAGTTTGATTCGGTGTCTTGTGGTCTTGTGTGGTGCCCCAGAGCTGCACCCAGCTTTCCAATTCCCTGTGCATGTTGCTGTTTTACACCAGCAGGGGACACTCGGTTTCCAAGGAGGGGTGCTGCTCTCACCAAAATGGTGGAGATTCCTTTTCCTTTCAGAGTGGAATCTTAAGAAGACTCTGTCCTGGATTTTACAACTTTTGGTAGATCCAATATGGGGCTTAAATAATTTTACAAAGCACTTTTGGAAACAAAGCTAATAGCCAAATTTGCACTGAAATAGGGAAAATGAAAAGTTAAAAAAAAAAATCAAAACAAAATTGAGTTGAAAACCATGTTATCAGAGACCCAAGATAGGTAGCAGTAGCACCTTGGAGAATATGAGAGTGTCCAGTGGGGAACCAAGAGCATTCCATCCACACTGTTGAGGTCCCCAGTTGAGGCAGGGGACCCGGAGAAGTTACCAAACAGAACTGCTTTTTTTTTTCTTCTGCCTTAGCCATATTATTCAGTGGAAGTGCAGAAAAGACCCCAAACATTTGTACTGCCTTCCCTCTCCCCACCCCCAGTACCTTCTTCAGTAGCCTTCCTTGCTAATTAACACTGGCTCCGCAGAGATATTTACCTTTTCTCTGCTGGATTCCTGTGGTTTTGAAAGAATTCAGGTACTCGCTGGTTGCCAAGGAATTCAGATTACCTCACAGGCTGCTCACTGTCCAGAATCTGCCACAGCAGCAAGTGGGGGGAAAGACACTAGAAAGGGGTAGAAACCCTTTCCAGTGCTCATTGTCACCCTCCCTGGCAGGCCCTTGCTGTTTGTGAAGTTTGAGTCATTTCTGGCTCTGAGGACAGAGGATCAGGCTCGTAATCCCCTCCCAGACGGCTCTGCTGGGCGCTGCCTAGTCGCTGCAGCACTTTGGCAGCCTCCAGGCTGCAGCTGGTGGACAGCAGATCAGAGAGCTCTTGGGCCTCTTGCTTTCTTCCATAAGATTTTTCTGGGTCAAGCCAGGATGAAGCCCAGTGGCTCCTGGCAAGGCTGCCTGAGGTGCACCTCCTCGTCCTCCTCAGGGCCTCTCTGGCTCAGAATGGCTACACCTGCTGAGAAATAACTCAGGTGCAATCTCCAGGGTCTTCTCCAGCCAGCCTCATTGCTCCCTTTGTTTGCCTATTTGTAGTGAATGTAGAAAAATAACTACCAAAGAGGAGGTCCTACATCTAACCTCTGTGACTTTGACTTAAGAGCATATGGTATCAGATTGTGAGAACAAAATAGGTTTTGAATAGGGGAAGAGAGTTTATAAGACCCCACTGACCCCCTCTGCTTGTTTTCCCATGTTGGTATAGACCTTGAAACAAGCAACTCAGGTGCACTTTCAGTTTATGCTTATAATTACCCACTACAGATACTCCTTGATTAGAGGATTTTGTTCTGATAAACCCATCATAAACAAAAATGCATTTGATAACCCTAACCTGCTGAATACCATAGCTTAGCCACATGGTCTGCCGTCGAGTATTGGTTGCTGACCTCTTGATGGCAAGGGTGCTTGGGGCTACAGCTCATCATGTTGCCCAACATCTCCAGAGGGCATTGTGGTGCGTATCATTAGCCTGGGAAGAGAGGAATTCAAAATTTGAAGTATGGATTTTACTGAATGCTATCACTTTTGCATCTCTGTAAAGTTGAAAAATTGTAAGTCAAATGAAATCTTTTCTTCAGACACCCACACATCTGATTTCTAGACTAATTATTACCATTGTTTTGATTCCAACTGAGAAAGAAACTTTAGAAAACAAAAAAAGTGTAGCTTTTGATTTAAGAGTTTGTCAGAATAAAGATAATCCATATTTGTTTATAGGGTGGTTAAAAAAATAAAGAGGCATACGGTTCTGTATTCATCAGTATGCTGCCAAGTAGCATCCAGGGTTTCAGAATTAGCCAAGAAAGTAGTACCCACCCACACCCAACCCACCACCTTTTCTTGGCTTAAAGGTCAAGGCTGTGAAATTCTGTTGAGAGTTTTCCTAAATTTTCATCTCATTAAAAGAGAGATTCAAGACTCAATTCATCCTATAAATTTCAGCCTGTGTTAGATTAAGTAAGTATTTGAAGACTTGGTCCCGGGGTACCTATTCAAGTGTTTTCTCTTTTAGTTTGTTGCTAGTAAAAACTGTTGAAACTTTTAGACCTAAATATGATGAAATTTAATAATATGTGAAGGTCTAGTTTAAAGGTCAACACTAAATGCTCACAAGTACATTTCCTCAAGGCAGTTAGCCAGGTGGGGACTGCAGAGTGGGAGAGCACCTGTCCCACCTAAGGGAGCTTGCTGTGTAGTGCCAATAGGTCACTGATATTGGAATCACAGGAACTTCCATTTTTTTTTTTAAGGGAAAATGTTTTGTTGTAAAACTTAATTTTTTATACTTTTAATTTTGAAACTATTTTGAACTTGTAGAAATGGGATAAAGAACTGTCCTTTCATTCTGTGTCCAGAGACCCCATTTCATAATATGGTACTTGTTTTAATAATATCCTTTATAACAAAGGGACCCAAGCAAGGAGCATGTGTTGGGTTTTGTCGTAGTGGCTTTTGTCTCCTCAGTCTGGGGCAAGTCCTTTCTACAACTTTCACAACCTCAGCATTTTTGAAGATCACAGGCAGTCATTTTGTAGATTGTCCCTCAATTTGGGTTTGTCTATATTTTCTCATGATTAAACCTAGGTTATGCATTTGTGGGGCCAGAATACCACAAAAGGGATGGTAGTTCTCACTGCATGGTATCTGATGGCCCACGATGACTATTCAGTGTTGACTGCTTGGTTAAGGTGGTGTCTGCCAGATTCCTCTGCTGCAAAATGACACTGTCTTTCGCTTCAGAGTATTTTATGAGGAGATACTTTGAAACCAGGTAAAATCTCGTTCTGTATTTCACCTAGTCTTTTTTTCCTGGTAGTTGTGCTGGGGATCAAGCCTGGGCCTCATACATACTAATCAAGTGCTCTATCACTGAGCTGCACCCCCAGCTTTTCATTCAGTACTTTTAACATCTACTGATATTTCTTGCCTGAATTAATATTTGAGGTACTGATTATCCAATGATGGTTTTCTGGTTCTATCATTCCTTTTACTTTTATCATTTGGCATTTTACTTCAAGGAAAAGCTTTCTCCTCTTCCCTTATGTTTATTCATTTATTTATTTATACCAGTGCAGACTCAAAGATTCCTATTTTATTGAATTGGTTTCTTTAATTGGGTGCTCCAGTTGTCTCAGATCTGGCCACTGGAGCCCCTTTAAGCTAGCTTTTTCTGCCCTTTTGGTTATCCCCATTTTTCTTTGAGCATAAAATGTTTTAGGCTCATGTTATTCTTCTCTGATTTAGCCCTGGAACCAGTCATATCTCCAAGGAGCACTTGTTGCTTTGTTGTGGAGAATGGTCTTTAGAAATGCAGATCTGGATGCTAGGTAGGCTCATCACCCTAGGGCCTTGCAGTGGATAGCCCTAGAAGTGTGCAAATATGTATATGTACGTGTGCACATTCACATCTGTATTTCTGTATTTCCATGCATTGAAAATAGAGGTTAATATTAGTACTTCCAATTCCAGTTCAAAACTACAGGGCACATTGTAGTGCTTTCTATATTTTTGCGTCTCAGATCCAACAGTGAGAAATCTGTGTTCCATTATCTTCAACATATTTATTTATTTACTTAGTTCCCTCTAATGTAGTCAGTTTCCTGACCTTGCTGGTCCATCGTCCCACTCACATGCCCTCCCTGTGTGGATTTAGAGCCCTATGGGGCTGTGCCCTCCTTAGATAACTTCCTGTACTCCCTGGGGTTTCCCTTCCAACCCCATGGGCCATTTCTTTCTGTGGACACTGGCTGCCATTGGGCTACAAGAAGGAATGTTGGTCAAGTAATTCAAGTTAAAAAACAAAACACAAACTTTTGTAGGTCAATCAGATAATCAGAACTTGACTAGTAGACCAGATGTGAGACTACTGTGACCTCTCGTCTAGACATTTTGAAGGAAATGGTGATCTAAGGTGAATAAGATTGTTTAATGGGACTGTACTGAGAGCTGTAAGATCTGTTGGGAGGTGGGGGTGAGCATACATCCCTGCCTCTCCTCTGTATGGTCTTCTTCTCTGTCCAATGGGTTAGGAAACAGAGAGCAGTGCCTTTGTCCTGTAGAACTTTTCTGCTAAGCTGAAGCTTTTCCCTCCCTCTAATCCTTCTTTCTGTAGAAGTCCATTCTGTGACCTTAGTAATCTCGCCTTTGCCAGGGTTCAGAATGAAATGCCCCTGTGAAAGAAAGATGAGAAAGAAGTTGGTGATTTTGTAAAGAGGTACGCTCTTGCAAAAAGGAGCCAGGAGTGACAGAAGTCTTCCTAACAGAGGCACCACTTGTCAAGGTAGATCAGATACCCAAAGTCAGGGTGTCTGATTTTCTCTCCCTGAAATTCATTGCTCTTTTGGGAGAGAGGAGGATGTCACTGTGAGGAAACGTCTGCTCAAGGGCTGGCAGCCTTGGGGTGTCAGCCTGTGCCCCTTTGCATTTCACAAGAATTCAGAGTTGTTGTCTTGTTTCCGTTTGGAGAAAGAATCACTGTCTGTATGTAGAAGTGAATTTTACTCACCACATGTGACATGATGAAGAGTAGTGATAACTCCTGGAAGTTTCTGGAAAATCTGAGATTTTTCTCAAGCATAGACATAAAGCTTGTCAAACTCTTGTCCTTGAGCCATACATGCCGAGTCAAAATTTTCTTTGTCCACATCCTTTTTCCTGGCCTCATGTTTGTTTATTTTAGTTTTTGAGTTAAGCCTTTTTTTTTTTTTCTTTTTCACTTTTCTTTCTTTGGCTCTTGTTTATTTCTGGTACAGGGAATTAGGGAGCGGAGATAGTGGGTGGGTGAGAAGAAATAGAGAAGAGGAAAAATTCTAAATGCTGACCTTTAATGTGGTAAAAATTCATGTTGACTTCATAGTCTGGGTAAGCATATGTAAATAATTTGTAAATCATCTGAAAATAAACTTGTGGCCTTCCAGGTTTTTTTCACACACTTGCATCTGTCTCTTGGGAAAACCACTTTAGGGGAGGGTGATATGGTTATAGAGGTATGTAAACAGGGATTGATATTTACCATAATTATTTGCCTTGAATGGCCTTTTGTGGACAATGAGCATCATTGGAAAGTTTTCTCTCTCCCTGCTTACTTTCTTCAGGGGCACATATATTTTTTGCCTTGGTCGTCTTTTGACAGTAGTCCAGGATATCAAGTTGCTTCCCTGTTTTCAGTGGGTTCCATGTTTGATCTCTTTATCCTTTCCCTTCATTTCAAATTTAAGAATTAGTCTCTTGCACTGTGCCCGTTTTTATGCTGTTCTGCTTTGTCTACTATTAATGCTGCCATTATTGTTCTTTGTAAATGACTAGTACACATCAATTCTGTTCTTTCTATGGATGTGAGTTCCATGTCATACATTTCTGTGCTGCTCTCTTTTTCTTTTTTGTGTACTTTTTCTCCATAGAATGCTATGGAACCAGGCACTATGTGGACACTCAGTAGATGTTTCCTTACCAGCTAATGCCCCATTCATCCATAGCATCCTTTACATAATTTTGCAAATTGGGCACAATTATTTTCAATTTTCATCCTTCCTATTGATACAAGGTTCTGTATAAGAGATGCAGCATCTATGGTGATTAAGATAATGGATTTTGGATCAGGGCAAGTTGCTTCATCTCTCTAGGTCACATTTAGTTTTCCTATCTATCTTATAAATTAGAGATAATAAACCCTACTTCATAGAGTTGTTTTGAGGATTGAATTAACATGTGACATTTAGTATAAACAGCCTGGGGATGGCAGTTGGGAGGTGTTCAGCGTTTCTTAGATAATGATGTCTCCTTTCTTTATCATTGTGGTCTTGCTGATCCTCAGCCCTAGCCTGGGTCCTTGAACCTCTGTTTCTGGCTTTTAACGTGTGTCATTTCTTTCAGGTTTGCCACTGTGCGATACGACCAAGGAGCCAAGAACATTAGGAACCAGTTCATGCACCTGACAAACTACAGTGTGAACAAGAAGAGTGGAGACTATGTGAGGTACTGGCTGTGTCTGAGCCAGAAAGCAGGGAAGGCACACTGAGTTGTGGGTGTTTAGGGGTGGGAGGTTGAAGTGCTGCGCTGGAGCTTGATGTTAGGTTTCTGTCCATGTAACACTTATGGAAAGCTGCCAGGGTCATGTGACAGTTGTGATTGTGTTGCTGCTCCACTGTTTGCCCTGCTGCAGTGTCACCTTTCTCTACTAAAACATGTTTACATCATTTTGTGTTCTTCATTGTCTTCCTTTGACTTAGGGGTGGGAATTTAATAGGCATATTGCATGTTTAGAAGTCAACAAGTGAGGTCATTTCAACACTTGAAAAACATACCAAAAACTTGACAAATATTTGTACACTTTGACCCAGCAGTTCCATTTCTAGAAACTTAACCTTGAAAGAGGGATGTATGACGGGATCAGAGATAAAGAATGTTCATTACTGTGTGTTATTAGGGGGAAAGCACATTATGTGCAGCTGAGTTTCTTGCATGAATATATCTGATAGCTAAAGTTATTTATTTTTGCTGGGGGTGAAAAAGAGAGAAGGATATGGACTACTTAAATATAGGGGGTGGGACTGTGGGTGGGTGATTTTTATTTTCTTTCTGTGTGTGCTTTTATGTATTTTCAAAAACAAATGCTTATGTGATCAGGAAAAAAATGGGAAAACGAGAAATGAGGACATCTCAGAAAAGATTATGGTAGAAGGGAGCACCAACACAACTGTGTGGAAATATTCTTTTTGCTTAGTTTTTCTTTCATGCTGATAATTTTGCCAAAAGGTGAAAAAACAGAAAAGAAATCCAAATAGTAATTTTCTGTGCAGACTAAAAGAAAGAAAGGAAGGCAGGTATCTGGAAGTGCTGGAATAGGTGCTGAAGCTGTTGGGGCCGACCAGTATCCTGTGGCCAATGTTAGGGGGTTGAAGAGGTCATATCCTTCACCTGGGAAGATGAGCAGAGATGCAGTGAGGTGGGACCCGGGGTTGGAGGTGAGGGCAGTTGCAAAGCACACGTTCCAGGTTGCAGGACTCTGCAGTCTCCGTGGGAGTCTGTCCCATTTGTCGTCATACACCGTATCAGTGGGATTCTTCATTGCTCTTACTGCCACTCTAGTGCACTCTCCCTTCATGGTGCCTCGGCAGATAGGAAAGAGGCCCAGTCCACCACCAGAGAGGAGGAGCTTGCTTCACATGCCAAAGCATGTGTGGGGTGAGCTCGTTAAAGTGCTGTGCTAGATTAGCTCATTAACCCCTCCCAACTCAGTTCTGGTCTGAAAATGGCACCCAGGGTGGTTTTGTCGACTCGAGTGACATTCACTTCTAAGGCCGGGTTGTTAATCCATTTTTGTTAAATTATTGCAACCATTCTTAATTTTGCTTAAATCTTTTCACATGTTTCTTCCACTCTTTCATGATGCATAATTGTTTGGTTAAGGAAGAGTTTGCCTTCTTTTCCCTTGCCCTTTTCAATAAGGGAAACTATATGCATTTTAATTTCCATTTAAGAAATTGGTACTTAAGGATACATAACAAAAAAGACTGAGAAAAATTAGGTGAGAAGAAATCAGCAAAGTGAGTGTTTTTCTAAAAATTTCAAAGGACCAAGAAGGTTGGTCATAAAGAATCTTGTTTTATAGCTACGCGTAGTTGCACATGTGACCTTGATTCATTAACTTTGTTTCAGTTGTGATGATCCAGAAGTAGAGGATTATGGGAACAAATGGAGTATGAGTGCTATGCTTAGATACCTGAAACAAGAAGGCAGAGATACAACTGGTGAGTACCAGATCTTTTCCCTTCCTGACTTTTCTTGTTTGTACAACTTTACCATGGCCTCTTGCCAGAAGTCCTACTCCTAACAGTAAATTGTATTGCTGAGATGTTCAGTGGGATGATTGTTCTTGGTTATTCACAAGACTGGGGACAAGCTTTATGTAACTTCCATTTCCTTATCTTGTTTCTAGTTTGGAAGGCAACTTTCTACTTTAATCCTTTGTGAATTTGGAAGGATAAAGTCACTAAATTCACTAAATTCAGCATTTTAATAAATTGCTTCCCTCTACATTGTCTCTGAGTTCAAATTTCTCTTAAGTTAACCCCTCATTTCTGTTGCTGAGTTGGAGAATGAATGGGCAGAGTGGAGTTTGAATATAAGGCTTAGAATCAAAGTGGGCCCATTGCTGAGCCTTGAGCAGAATGGGAAGCACTGTGCTGAAGACACCGTCTCGGTCTACAAGAGAAAGGGCGGTAGGGGAGGAGTGGGAAGAGACAGAGCCTCCTTTTCCATTCTGTCTCTGTCTTCTGTCAAAGGAGGCTGCCTGAGTGTATCCCCAGACACTTCCATTCTTGACTGTGTCAACCTATTTATGGATATACCTGTCCCTGTCAGGCCCATTCTGAATATTGCTTCAGAGAGGTTTTTTTTGAGTGAGCACACATGCTTTTCCAATTATATTGTGACCTGGAATCTGGTCCTGCTAGGAACCAGGTCTTTCTTCATTTTTACCTTTTTTTTTTTTCCCCCAGCATTGATGGCCCATGTGGAAGATCTGATCATTAAGACTATCATCTCTGCTGAGCTGGCTATTGCTACAGCTTGTAAAACCTTTGTCCCTCATCGCAGCAGTTGTTTTGGTAAGGAGCTCTGAAAGAGGCCTCTGTGTTTAGTGAAGAGGGTCCTGGGATGGGTTCTGGGGTAGAGAGCCTTAGTGATGTTTTGAGAGTGAGAGTTACTTGACACACTTTTCTCTCTAAGTTCAGGTAGTGTGTGCAGATTCTCCTAAGAGGCCAGTGGTGAGCTTAGTTGGAATTCCCCCGGGAGTAACTAGCTTTCTGTGTGGGAAGCAGGCATTGGAACTGAAGTGTGGGTCTCTCTGTCGGTGCAGTCAGAAAAAGTCTGCAACGGACTGTACAGGAATCCAGCACTAACAAATATATTCCAGAGCTCTTTGGCAGCCAGACTGGGAACTGTTCCAATATGCTCTGGCTGGTACCAGTGTGTGCTTTCTTCCATTTTCTGATGACTCCACCTTTTTTGTTTTAGTCTTCTTTCTAGTGGGTTCCTTTTCCTCCTCCTCTTCCTCCTCCTCCTCCTTCTCCTCCTGCTTTTTCTCCTTTCTCCTCCTCCCCCCTCTCCTTCTTCTTCACCCTCAACCTGATTGCACAAAGAAGGAGAAATAAACAGTTCACAACCACCAAGTAAGGAAACCCCTTTCCTTCTGACCCACTAGCTATGATGGTAGCACTGAGGGTGCCTGTGTATATCTGCTTTCTTTGTGGATAGACACTTGTTAGAAACTGCTAGTGTTGAGTCTCTAAAGTCACATAAGCTTTCAGTAGACACGAGGCCTGGATGGTAAGGTGCACTAGGGTCACCAATAGGGAGGATGCTTAAGTGTGGTATGGAATAGTACAACCAATAAGGACGTAAGAGGCACAGCTTGCTTGTGAGGAGGCAGGGTAACAGAAGAATAAAGGGGACAGAGGAGAGCAAGGAAAGGGGAAATCCTGGGGAATGATATTGGCCAAATTACATTATATCGTATGTGTGTATGAATATGTAGTGACAAATCCCACCATTATGTATAACTCTAATGCACCAATAAAAACACAGAGAAAAAGGAACATGGGCTTTAGAGACTGACAGCCTTAATTTTTTCTTAAATTTATTTTTATTTATTTATTTTTATTGGCACTGGGATTTCCTGGCCCTTTTATTTTATATTTTGAGACAAGGTTTTGCCAAGTTACCAAGGCTGGCCTTGAGCTTGTGATTGTCCTGCCTCAGCCCCTCAAGTCACTGGGATTTACAGGCATGTGGCACCATGCCCGGTAGTCTGATGGCCTTAATTTGAAATCTGTTTGCACCCCTTACTAGTTTGTTGATTTGCAGCAAGCTTTTCTAATCCTGCTTTCTGAACTCTGAAGTGGCAGCAATGATGGCGTTTGTCTCCTTAGAGGATCACAAAGATCAAATGAGATGATGTATGCATAGTGCTTGGCATCATGTCTGGCCCTTATACTCTACTCAGTAAAAATTATTTTTAATTATTTTTTATAATTAGACATTATATTTCTTAATATCTTTAATGAATTATCATAATAGCCTGTACTCAAGAGGCACTAGAATAAAGGTACTGTTGAGACTCTGAATATAATCTGTAGATAGATTAGGACCTACAGTTGCACAGGGAAAAAAGAGGTTGTAGTATCTTTTTAAAATGTGTACCCAGGGTTGATGTCTTCTTAAATGGCTTCCAACGCTAGTTTACTAACTCTGCTAGTAAAATAGAAACTTGATATGACCTTTAAGGTCTCTAAGGATCTGATCACAGCTGACTTTTCTAGAATTCTGTTTTCCCTGTTACACCTTATAACTCAGCATTTCCCTACTGTATCTCTTGAGCAAGCTTTGGTGTCTCAGTTCTGCCCTCCAGCTAGAAAACCATCCTGTCTGCCTTGCACATTGTCATTTCTTAAGACTCGGCTCTACATTGCATCCTCTGGAAGCCTTGCTTAACGTAGCACCCACTTGTATTTCCTCCCCCATGCTGGTACGTGCCTGTATCATATTTTGATGTCTTGTTTACATGTATACTTCCTGGTTGTCTCTGAGTTTATTCTTGAATTCTTTTTTTTCTTTTTGTGGTGCTAGGGATTGAATCCAGGTCCTTGTGCATGTGAGGCAAGCATTCTACTTGTATCTGTGCTGTATCCTCAGCCCTATTCTTGAATTCTTAATAGTCACCATGTCTCCCTTCCTATGTCATCCTATTTCTGTCAAGCCAAATCTTTCACTATTTCTGTGGACCTCCGAGGACTTTTTGTACCCCTTTGCCTTTGCACCTGCTTTATATGTTCTGTGGTTGGTCTTTCTCATGTTACTTTATCTATTAGCTCATTGACATCTTTCAAGACAAACCCAGTTGTCACTCCTCTGCTAACCTTTTTCCTAACTCTGCTAGTCGAGGTTAGACTTTTCTCATCCTCTAACCTCAGCACTCTGTTCATAACTTTGCAATAGCACCTGTGTGTCATCTAGAGTCATCTTTGTGTTTATCTCTCCTACTGGACTGGCAGCTTCTTGAGAATAGTAACCCTCCATTGGTTTTCCCCTCCAGTGCTGAACCGCAACCCTTTTTCTTAGAAGATTCGTGGAAGTGTCCATTGAATGAGTACTTGGTTCTAGCTTTAATTGCGTTTTGGTGGGTTGACAGCAGGCTTCCCAATGTACCTGGTTTGGTGAGGGCCTAAAACACTTAGATTTTATCGCAATCTGTTTGAGGATGGGAGTGGGATTATAGAATATAGCACCAACTTCCAAAATCTTAGATTGAAGTAATAAATAAGTTTCATTCTACATCTACTTGGTTCTTATATGAGGATAAATTTCACATAGTTGTTGGTGTAAAACTTTTGTTCTAAGCAGTTAATCATGACAGCTTTTCTGTTTTATTATCTGATTAATTTTTGAAACCTTAGGAATTTATTACCTTATGTTAGTAGAACATTTTGATGTGAAAGAAGCAGTGACTTTCTCTGACTCAGTGAAATCCCCCAAGTCCATTTGATCGGCGTGGGTCTCCATTCCCCTTCCTACTCATGTTCAGTTTCTATAAACTAAGTGCATCTGGACTTTTTTAAGTTGTTGACTGTCTTCGTGGCTTTTGTGGTTCTAATTCCACTTCCTGTCAGCTCTGGGATTTTGTTTGCTTCATTAACCCCCCCTCCACTGTCAGATATGATTTTGTATACGTGTGTGTATTTGTGTCTCCTTGCTTCCCTCTGACTCTTAGCTTCCCTTGGGATTTAAGTTACAAGGAGTAAGCTTTTTGTTTTTGTTTTGTTTTGTTTTGTTTTTCTTCTCTTTCATTTGTGTTAGAATAAACAGGAATTGAGAGCTTCCCAGAAGATTTTGGCTTAAACAGAGTGTTGGTGCTTTTAGAAGTAAATAGTCCTGAGATGGGGTTCCCTATACTCATTTAGTTGTTGTCCCTGACCTTCCATCATATGGATCTCTGCCAGGAGCACTCCATTACCATCTTGTTTCTGTTTTTCTGTGGTTGTTTCTTGCCCCACCATCTGCGATGTCTGTTTCCAGGTACTTTCAATATTCCCATTCATTCTTTTATTTATATTTTTTGAATTTTTTCCCCCAGCTCTTGCTGTTTGAAGACGGCTCTTGCCGTCTTCAGCAGTGAATTACCATCAACAATTTGTCCCTGTCCAACCAAAATTTACATGTAATGGTACATACATATAATTGCATTATATTGTCAGTGTTTATATATAGACTTAAATGTAGTCATTTAGTGCTTTTTCATAGATTGGTGCATCTAGAAAGACGTTAGAAAATAATTAGTTCAGATATAGAAATGGAGATCTTGAGAAATTAACATGTGCCTCAGGGTTTAGAGCTAGTAAATGAAGGAATTTGAATGAAAGAGACTGAGCCTGAAGAACCAGGCTTCAGAAGTCACATTTTGGTAATCCTAGTATCTTGATCATGAAACTTCATTTATACAATGTTTGATGCCCACCCCAACAAAACAGATTTTTGACAATTAACTTTCACTGCCTTCCAAGATGGTGAAAATATGCCACCATATGAAATAATATGCTTAAATAGCAACTTTTGAAATATTCTAAGGAACTTGGCACTGTGAGATAACTGACTATGAGAACAGCCTTTTTGACCAATTGAAGAAAAACAGCCAAAAACAACAGGATGTTAGCTGTGCTCTAAAGATGTTGCTGCTGACAGTGGTTTTATCTTTGTGTGTGAAGATGCCTAAAGTCATGTGCTGTGACCAAGTGGGATCATGTGAATCAGATGTGAGACCACTTAGGGAAATTATCAGCCTGGCCTTGTTTTGATCAGAGTCCAGTGAGTTGTTAGCTCAGGGCCACCCATGCCCAGTACCTCTGTCTTTGCTGAATGAAATCTGGTTTGGCCTTTTGTTGATTCCTCAGGGTAAACTGAAGTTTTAAAGGGAGCAGGCCCACAAACCAAGGAGTGAATGTGTATAGTTCACGTTGTCCAGTAATGTAAACTACTTGACCTCCAACAAAATAAGAATGAAAGTCAAATGTTCACTTTTCAAGATAAGATTATCTTTTCCACTTTACCCCTTTGTCCTATTTAGTTGGGAAGGGAAGTTTACTGCAGAAGGGACTTAGTAGGTATGGGAAGTACCTGCTGTTTGTCAAGCAAACGAAGGTTATTTCCTTCAGTCCTCAACAGTATTGTTGGTCTTTATTACCAACCAGATACCATAAAACAAGGATTAAAAAAAAAAAAAAAAGATTCAGGAAGGTTAAGGAAGTTATCCTAGGTCATGCAGCTAATAAATGGCAAAACTGAGTTTGAGAGCCAGGTCTCTCTGGCTCTTTCTCCACCCACATAAAGACAAGTTCTGATGAGCCTGCCACTTTTGGCATGCCTCATATCCTGGATTCTCCTCTGCTCTCCTGTAACTAAATCTCAGGAAAAATGACCTCATCCTTCCTAGTAGATCAGGCCTGTGAAAGGACGCTCTTACTGCTCTAGTCAGGAGTAACCTCTCCTAGATGGTCCTTTCAATCTGTCTTTGTATCTGGTAACCAGATACCGTATTGATTTATTGGACTAATTA